GCCGGAGCCCCGGCGGGCGGGCGGGCGGCCGGGGGGGCGTGCCCGGGACCGCCTTCAGCGGGAGGACGCCGCGCTGGGCCCCGCGCGAACGGCGGGCGGCCGCGCTTGAGTCCCGCTCCGCAGCGCCTGCACGGGGGGCGGGCAGGGCCGCCGCGGCCCGTCCGGGGCTCCGGCGCAGCCTGCGTTCCTGGCGGAGACTCCTGCCCGAAGCGCTGGCGGGCCGGAGCGGGTGCGGAGCCAGCCGGCCGTCCAGGGGCCGCCCGCGGGGGTCTTTCCTCCCGGGGGGACCCCCGAGCAGCCCCCGGCGCGCCGCGAGCTGCCTCCAGGCTGGCCGGCGGTTGCTCGGAGGATGCTCCCGATCGGGCGAGACACAGTCCTGGAAGTAGCGCTCGGTGCGTGGCGGTGGCGGGGAAGGTCTGGCTCGGAGCCCGAAGAAAGCCAGCCCTGAAATAGCCACAATTTTAGCCAATCATTTTCTGCTATTTTAAGTCCTTCGCTGTTTTTTGTATCGCTGTTGGGTTTTACTTGGAGTTTTACTTCTCTTTCATAACGGAGTTCTGAATGCTTCTATTTTATATGTTTTGTTTTATTGTTTTAGTAATTGTGAACCACCTAGAAAGCTTCAGCTATTTAGTGGTATAAAAATGTAATAAATGCATGCAATTAACTGCACAAAAGATAGCCTATTTATTTCACTGCTCAGCCAAAAACAGCTCCTGGAGCAGCTTAGAAAGATGCCCTATCCCCCGGTTTACAATCTAAATGGCACAACACAAAAAGAAACAGGACTCGGAGGGAGGAGGAGGAAAGCAAAGCTGAGGCACCAGTTCTTAATCTTTCAAAGATTGTCTGTTCTTTCTGTCGGGAAAGGGTAAGGCAAGCCCCCTGCAGCTTTTGCTTTTCCGGCTGATATGGGACTAGGTTGGTCTCCCTGTGCCATGATGCTCTTCCTGGAGAAAGGTTACAGCTACCCAGTGGCCCCTTGATCTCTGCCCAAAGTCTGCAGTTCTGGGGAATAGTTTCTTCCCAGACATTTGAATGCTTTGGCACTAAGCCTTAGACCCGGAAAAATCTGTGTAAGTTAGAAATATCTACAACTATTAGGCTGCTTGAGGGATCAATGGATGTTGCTGAATCTATTCTGACTGTATTTTGCAGACTTCTGTTCCATCATCCACTCATGGACTGAATCAAATCGCTTTTCATTTCCCAAACTCATGTTTGTGCACACTTGCAGAAATTTGCACTTTCTAAAATGTACAGCTTTCCCTCACATATGTAAATCCCACCATGTGCATGTTCACATTTTAGCCTATGGAATGAAATGTGCATTTCTGGTAGGTGTTTTTAATTGCTCAGCTTTCTCTGCACCTAAATATATGTAGAATTCCAGAAATTGGTAAGTCTGGGTGTCTGTGTGACTTGAGAAAAGCCAGGCTGCTGAGGTATTCATCATTTGGCGGGTTTTTTGCAGTCCAGCCATTTGGATCAGTTGCTGATTTCTGCATCGTCCCTAAAGCGACCTGAATTATTTGGTCGGAGAAGCAGCACACATCTGGCTGGGGGATGCTGCCCAGCACATCTGGCTGGGAGTGATGCAGGGAGGGCAGCTGGAGCGCCTTCTGTGTTCTGAGCGGAGAGCCAAGCGGGCGGTGTGCAAAATGAGCTGCCGAGCTGACATCAGCCCCACTCCGGGCCTGGGCACAGGCAGCGGCGTTCCCTGTGTCCGGGGTTGTCCTTGCTTGTGCAGTCGGAGGAAAAGAGCGGAAGCGGGAGATGCGGTCGCCCTGGGGGCCCACCACCCCTGGCTGGGAACGCTCAGTGGGCTCCTCAGTTGCCAGCTGGGATTACCAGAGACTGTTTGGAGGAGCCGGGCATTCCCAGAGGGGCCAGGCTGGGCTTCTCCTGGGCACAAGCGCCCTGGGCTGTGTGCGCAGCTGCGGCTCCAGGGACACCCCTTCTGAGCGCACCTTGCGTGCCTCCGGGCGGCCTGTGCCCTGCGCTTGCCTCCACCACGAAGTCATCTGCTGCTGAGTCATTTTCGACTGGGGATCGAGGCCAGAGGCTTCCCGTGCCGCTCTTTTTGCCATTTGCTGGCATTGCTAGCTTTGGAACGGTGTGCTCCGGCCGCCATGAGCAGCTTGCTAAAGGAGGGAGGGCAGGAAAGAATTCTCGTAAGGACAATGCAGTCGCTGTGACTCGTAGCCCCCGAGGGAGCTGTCTGCCTCCTCCATGAATTTGTCCAGTCATCGGAGCCCCTGGCCCTCTTCACCACGTCTCAGCAATGAATTCCAAAAATGTCCTGCACTTTTGTCTGCCTGAAATCAACTGCCAACTGTCTTCGCCGGGTGACCTCGAGGTCTCGGACAGCCTCCCCCAAGCTAAGGCCCCCCCAGAGGGGCTAGCTAGAGCTTCCAGCATCCCTCAGCCCTGGGGGTTGGAACCCAGCACAGGTGGAGGGCACCCACTCTGGGGAAGAACGGAGGAGACTGTTTTAGGTGGAAGCAGAGCCTCGCGGGGTGGCAGCCGTGGCCCCTCTCCAGGGGGGCAGGCCAGGTGCCCTCCTAGTGCAGCCAGCCCATGTCAGGGATCCAGCCAGGGGCCTTCTGCAGGCAAAGCAGCAGCTCCCCCCATCAAGAGGGAGGTCCCCTCCCTGCTTTACATGACACCCGGTTTTCTCACAAACATTTTAAGATCCGCTTATTCTTTGCAGTTCCCTGAAGTGGTTCCACTGAACGTCGGAGGAGTCCATTTCACAACCAGGTTGTCAACCCTGCGGCGCCACGAGGACACCATGCTGTCGGCCATGTTCAGCGGCCGGCATTATATCCCACAAGATGCCGAGGGCAGATACTTCATCGACAGAGATGGAGCTTTTTTCGGGTATGCATCCCTTAGGTCACACGCTCGAGCCAGGCAGACAGTTTCGTGCGGTGAGTCCACAGAGCCCGTCTTCCTCTTCTGCCTTTGCAGCATGGCCTCTCGCAGCCAACCCGGGTGGGTCAGGTGAAGCATTATGAGATCTCTTGCCGGGCAGTGCATCAGGAGCTGGCCATGTTGGGCTTCTGGCAGTTTCCAGGCAGCTTTCCTGTATGTGGTTCAAAATGCAGCCATATCGGAGTGCAGACATGTTCACATAGAATCATAGACTTGGAAGGGGCCTTCGAGGCCATGGAGCTCGGCCGTTGCCAGCTCAGGAATCCCATTCCCGCCCGGCTCTGCTCAAAGGCCTCCAGCAAAGCCGCGCTCTCCTCCTTCCTAGCCGGCCGGATTCTGGGCCTGACTGTCCAGCAGCTCGGGACGTTCTCCTATCCGCCTCCCCTCCGAGGCTGCCATTCCACGCCCGGCGGCTTGCAGGACGGAGGACAAGCTGCGCCCCTTTCTATGTGACGCCACCCCCCCCAAGGGCTGGAAAAGCACATCCTTCCTCTCTCCCGGAGACCAGCGTGCCCAGACCCTTCCGCCCTTCCTCATAGGGCCTCGTTTCAAGCCCCCCGCTCCTCCTGGCTGAATGTGGTCTGATTCGCCTGAATCCTTCCTTAAGTCAACTGCTTGGAATTGGACACAGTAAAGAGTAGAGCAGAACTACTGTTTCCCAAGCGTTAGACCCCAAATGCCTGTTGACGCAGCCTAAGGTTGTGCTTACCTTTTCCGCAGCCACATCGCTCTGCTGGCTCACGCTTGGCTCACGCCCAGTGTGGCTTTTCTGGACGCGACCTGCTGGGAGGCAAGGTGTGATGGTGGTGGCCTCACGCTTTTGGTGAGGGGCTTTGGTGGTGGGTTTTGTGTGTTACTAAGGGCAGTAGGAAGAGGAGGACCAACTATGAGACGGATCGATTCCATTCCATCGATTCCACAGCCTTGAGGTTGCGAGGTCTGTCCAGCCCAGGCAGCTTTGGAGGACATTCATTCACAGGCCCAGCATACGTCAGAGCGTCTTGCCGGCAGATAGGCCCAGAGGGTGGGAGCGAAGGCAGACTTGGCCCCGGGCGGGAACACACAGGCTCCGCTTGGGAGACTCGCGGGGGGAGGCTGGCGGTCAGCCGTTCGGGTTGTCTGCACCGCGTCTTTGAGCGCCGGACGGGGTCAGGTGGCAGGCGGCAGATGCTCGTTATGCTGCGTGTGCCTGGTAATAGGATTGATTAAGCAAAACGTCTGTTCTGCTGCTGCTACCAGAAGGCTGGATGCGAGCCTTCTTTCGGAATAAAGGTGTCCTGCCCTGCTCTTGCCAGGCGTGCTTTTTTGAACAGATCCTCAGCAAGAGATAAGAGCTCAGAGAGCGCACACGAGGCTTTCCCTGGACAAACGTGGAGAGAACCCTGCCCTTTGGGGTGTTTCCCCCTCGGCCGGCCCCGAAAACTTTGGCTGTGGCACGTGGCGCGAGATGCCCGTCCCAGAACCCCTCGGAATATCCTGGGAGGTGCGCCCTTTGGATCACGCAGGGTCCCCAGCGGTTGAAGCGTGGCTGCCTTCCAAGGTGCTGCTTGAGTTGCTTTCCTGCTCGCCCTGGCCCTGTTCACGTTCCTCCCGTTTTCCCTTGCTGGGGCTGTTGCACCATTATAAAACCTGTGGTTTGTTGGTCAGTTTTTGCTTCCTGAGCATGCCTGCCCTTCTGGCACTTCCTTCCATGGGGGGGGGGTGCAGTGAGGGAGTCTTTCAACATCGCTGCTGGCAATTTACAGTTTTCTGAAGGAGAGGAGCTCAGAATGGGGGGTCATGGCATTTTAATGGACATCGGATCTCTCTCATATTTTTACATTTGAATTGTACTCCTAATGCATGTAATTTTTTTACAAGAAAGGTCAGATTATTAGTAATTGATAATTAATGGTAAGTGATTATTAGTCCAGTGGTATCGCAGCTCACGAATGCCTCCATTCGTGACCAAATTGGGTCGCGAACTGAAATTTCAGAAAAATGTTGCCTCCGTTCGCGAACTCCGCATGATGTGACGGCCACGATTGCGGCCATGTTGCCACACAAGCACGATCGCAATCGCAACCGTCTTCCCTGCACGAGCACAATCGCAATCGCAGGTGTCTCCCATCCCCCCCCCAGCACGATCGCTATCGCACGATCATCGTTTCGACTCTTCCTCCAAACTATAACCTCCCCCGCACCCCACCCAGGTTAGTGTTCTCTACTGTACTGTACTTTGTGACTTTGTTGTTCTTTTTTACTAAGCTTCAAATTTTTGTGATTTAAAAAAAATATTTACAGAACGGATTAACCTTATTTACATTGAACCTTATGGGGAAATTTGACTTGGCTCATGACCAATTCAGGTCGTGAAACGGATTAAGTTTGTGAGCCAAGGCAGCACGGTAATAGCAGGAAATAAAAATCAGCTTATCAGGGTGTCATTGCGGCTGCCAAAATGCTGAAAGCAGCTTTTGAAGTCTTTGGTCCAATCCAAACCGGGGGCCTTTCTGGTGTACTGAACTGGCGCTCCCAGCATCCCAAGCCTGCCGGTTCAGGAGGGTGCACCCATGAGTGCAGAGTGCCATCCCTTGCACGCTTAGGCAGAACAACATCCTACAGTTCCCAGCATGCAGTAGGGATTTGCGCTGGACTATGGGACTTTCTCTGTCTCGGCATGTCCAGAATTGCCCTCCGAGCGCTTGGGCCTGCAGTTTCACCCATTTAAGCATATTGCTTGCCACATCCTGGAAAAGAAGGGGGAACAGGAGGGGGCAGCTGTCCCGGAAGGACCTTCTGCACCGATGTCGTCTTCTTTGTTGACTTTGCAGAGACGTCCTTAATTTTCTGCGGTCCGGCGACTTGCCTCCGAGAGAGCGCGTGAGGTCAGTTTACAAGGAAGCCCAATATTATTCCATAGGACCATTGCTAGACAGCCTACAGGAGCTGCAGCCTCTTAAAGGAGAGCAAGTCCGGCAGGCTTTCCTGGGCTTAATGCCCTATTACAAAGGTAAATGGGGAGGGCGGCCGGGCGGTGGCGTGCGATTGCCTCGTGGCGGCCGGTCAAGCTGCCTGGGAGCGGGGCGCCAGCGTTCGCGCGGGGAAGCTTGGAAGGGCTCCGGAACCAAGAGTGCAGTGCCGACTGGGTCTCCCTGAAAGGCTGCCCTCCGAATGCAGTTCGGGCCCCTCAACGTATTTGCTGCTGTTTGTGTGCTTATCAGGATTTTTATCCTGCCCTGCAGCTAGAGGAAGGGCCCCTGGAGCAGGTCACAGCTTGGCAGCAACAGGCGGCAGCCCCTGCCCTCTGGCCTGTGCTCTTCGAAAGCCACAGCATGCAAGGAAAATGGGATCGGGAGGAAGGAAGGAAGGAAATCAAGGTGGCTTTAAGCACGAGGGGTGGAATGGCCCTACTTCCCTTCTCACCTCCTGGGGGGGGGGGCATCCGACTGAGCTCCCCTTCGCCCGCTGCCGCTTCTGGCACTCCGCCTTTCCTCCGGGAGTCGCTGCCATTTGGTGCAGGGCAGTCGGAGCGGATCTGGCTGGAGCACAGGACTTTGCTCTTGGCAGTACAGTGTTCTTGAGCCGCGCTCAGCCATTTCAGGACTATCTGTGGATTGGGCCCCACAGTCCATTGCATGTATGAGGTGGATGCGGGGGCTCTTCAGCTTTGCACCCCTGGCTTCGAAAAGGCCGGGAGCCACCTGTAAGGCCAGGCATGGAGTGGACATGGTGGGCCTGTTGTGAGCAGAGCCGGCTGGTGCCAGAGGTCAGACTAGATGGCCCGGGAGGCCCCTTCTGACTCGCTCTGTTTCTATGTTTCTACGACTTAAAGCCCAAGCCATGGCATGACTGCATGGGTGCTGTGAGAAGGAAGCCATCTTGGGGTCGTGCATCATCTTGGGGTCGTGCGTCAAGTGCCGGGTGTCCGCAGTCCTGGGCTTTAGTTCCATGCAGAGTGTGGGGCTGCTCGGGCAGTGCTGGGCCAGCCCCCAGTCCTCAGCCTGGCCTGCTTTGCAGTGGCTTTGTTTGCAGATTAGCAGCAGAGAGGAGAAGGGGTGCCATGGAGACCCCTCGAAAGGGGAGTGTGGGCTGCTCATCAGTGCCCCGAGGAGCGAAGTCTCAAACGAGGCTCTTTGGGCCTCCCTGAAGCAGCTTACGGGCTCCCTAAACGAGCTGCTCCCAACCTCTCTGTGGCCCTCCGGATGTTTTAGACCGATGGGGCACTGTTGGGCAGCACGTCTGGAGGGCACCAGGCGGAGAGAGAGCTGCCCTAAGCCCCCGGCGAAAGCCCCCCCCCCCCGCGGCGCGTAACCGTGGTGCCCTCGCTTTTGCAGAGCACTTGGAGCGGATCGTGGAGATCGCCAAGCTGCGGGCCGTGCAGCGCAAGGCCCGCTTCGCCAAGCTGAAGATCTGCGTCTTCAAGGAGGAGATGCCCATCACGCCCTACGAGTGCCCGCTCTTCAACTCGCTGCGCTTCGACCGGGGCGACGGCGAGGCCAAGCTCTTCGAGCACCACTGCGAGGTGGACGTCTCCTTCGGGCCCTGGGAGGCCGTGGCCGACGTCTACGACCTGCTGCACTGCATCGTGACGGACCTCTCCCGGCGCGGCATCACGGTGGACCACCAGTGCATCGGCGTCTGCGACAAGCACCTGATCAACCACTACTACTGCAAGCGCCCCATCTATGAGTTCAAGATCACGTGGTGGTGACGCTCTCGGACGAGGGGCTCGAGGAGGGGCCCGGAGGGCGGCGTGCCCCGAGGACGTGCTGGCGCTCCCCTGCCTGGAGGGAGAAGCGCGCCTCCTGCCTGGGCTGGGCAGCATGCTGGGAGCTCACCTGGGGAGGCGGGACCTCTGGGAGGAAGCGCCCGGCGCAGGGGCCGTTGCCACGCCCCCGTCTCTTTGGAAGGGCTCTCGCGCGAGGCAGGCGCATTCCGCTCCTGCGCACCGGCCTGCCGTCTTTCAGGGCGTCCTCCCAGAGCAGCTTCATTCCGCCGGGGCCGGGGAAGGACGTGCAGGGGAGTGTCGGCCTTGTGATGCAGCTGCCGGGGGTCCGGAACTTCAGCCACACACCCCTCCTGCTGGCCCAGCGCACTCTTGTGTGGTGCCCTCCGGGAGAGAAGGACGCAGGACCTGGCAAAGCTGCCGAGCTTGTTCAGAAGCATTTTTTCAAAAACGAGTTCACTCTGTCTAAAAGGGCCTGAAGTTTCTGTGCGTTTGTGTGTGCTCACTTCAGTGCCCCATTTCTAAGTCTGCTGTCACATGATTTATTTCCGTTTCTCTGACCATCTGAAAGGGCAGTTTTCTTCTTCGATGCCTCACCTCTTACTGTGTTGGTTGCATTTATTAGTGAAATGAGAAGTCGGGGTTATTTATCAGAATCCATTGTGGCTGCCCTTTGCTTTGGGATTTTTTATAGGCTGGAAAACCACCTTCCCAGTATTGCAGCTTTGCCCAGCCTGGTCTGCTCCAGATGTTGCGACGGCTGCCTTCACCTCCAGCCAGCATGGCCCTTGAGGATGATGGGAGCTGTAGTTGTGTACCTGTGGAAAGCACCAAGTTGGGAAAGGGTTGAAGCTTGGAAAGGAGGAAGCCCCAGCGATTTGCCCTCAGTGCTAAGGCGAGCCAGGTGCTCCATGCTTGAGTCCCCCCGCAGCTCGCTGAGTCTGGCTCAGCTGCTCCCCGCCCATAACCCGTGCCCCTTCCTCAGCGACCCCCAGCCCCCCGCAGTGGACTCGTAGGCCCCGGTGAGAGCGGGCGCGCCTTTGCGCGTGGGTGCGGTGCCTGGTGCGGCAGTGCCAGCAAGCTCCACAGGCGGCGGTTTCGTGGCACTGCGGGTGGGGCTGCCCCATGCCTGGCTTCAAACTTGCCGGGGACCTCCTGGGGGCTGGGGCCACCCACGGCGCAGCAGGCCCGGTCCCGAGGTTGGCTCCCGTCGCTGTGGCAATCCACGAGGCATTTGAGCACAGCCTCCCCCGCACAGGTGTTGGTGTGCATGAAGAAGCACGGCGAGGCAGCCCCCCCAACCTGGAGCCCTCCAGATGTGCTGGGCTGCACCTTGCATCTGGTTGGGAGCAGCTGCACGAAGGAACGAGCCCTCGTGGGCACGATGGAACTTGCTGCTGTGTACACGCGTGTACGATGATTGTTCCGTGCTCTCAATTCTGCGAATTAAAAATTTCCTCTTCCCTTGTGCAAATAAGCTGGCATTTAACAATGTGGAGAATTGATGAGACACTTACAGAAATCTGCTAAATGATTTCACAGTTCCCTTGTTTGTTTGATTGACTTTCATACTGTTCAATAGCCCAAGGCTTCTTGGGCAGCTAACAAAAGTCAAAGGGCTTCATTTTAGCTCACTTGCTTTGTTCGAAGTATGTTTCACCTGGGTGTTTTTAGGTCAGGAATGGGCCTCTTGCTTTGGTCTTCCATTCCCATCATTCCTCCCCATTGCGATGGTGGCTGGGCTGATCGGAGTTGTAACACAGAAAAAGAGAAGCAGAGCGAGTCAGAAGGGGTCTCCCGGGCCATCTCGTCTGACCCCGGCTCCAGCCGGCTCCGCTCGCGACACGCCTACCACATGACCACCATGTCGTGACTTTGTAGGCCAAAGCATTTTTATTTCAGGAAGCCCTCATGAATTAACCAGCCATAGTTTTAATTCTCTTAATTTTAGCACATTGTTTTAATGTTCTTGTACTGTTTTGAAAACTGCATATTGTAATATGGAGTGATAAATCTGTGAATAAGTAAAATGCCTGTGGAGCTGCATACCGTGGGCCCTGCCCCTTGCACACTGGCCGCGATGGTGCAATTCTCTGCATGTCTGCTTCGAAGTCAGCCCCGCGTAGTTTCGTGGTGCTTGCTTGCCTGTTAGCATGCACAGCATTGAGGGTTCCCTGCCTTCTGGGGAAAAAAACAACCAATACCCAGATACAAATTCAGTGGAAAATGGTTATTTTTTGTATTGTGTTCAGATGGTGCAATAAGAGAATCCAGTGATGTGATTTCATCCCACTCCTGTATATAATCTGTATTTTGTATTGGAACATACTGTGTGTTGAAATGGTGCAATAAAAATCAAAGTACACAAGCCAGATTTTAAGCACATTTTCAAAGCTACAATAACTTATAGAAAGACCTGTTAAGACCTGTTTAAGCAGCTGACATAAACCCCTGTATAATATTAAAGCTAATTAAATGTCCTGTGGTAAGGGACAGTCTCAACCTGGTACAGAAAAAAATATGACTGTTGGTGTCAGGCGGGCCTCTGCAGGGAGCTTGTTCCCTAACCGGCCTGGCACCAAACAGGTCCTTCGTGTTTCCAGCTGCCAAGCTTCCTGTGGAGGCGGCAACTGGGGACAAGCCCTAGATCTTGATTGCTGTGCATGGGGTATTGCGATCTCAAGCTGTGTGAGGCTTGAGAGGTTAAAAGCAGCCGCTTGAATTGAGCTTGAAACCCTAAGGGCAGCCAACGTGAACAGGCCAGAATGCCCTTCAGACCATTTGCTCCCCATGATGAAGCCGGCCGCCTCAGTTCGGACAAGCGGGAACATCTGAGCAGTCCTCCAAAGCAGCCCCAGGTGGAGCGCATTGCAGGCCTCCAGTTCAGACATGACCAGACCCAGGTTGTCCCTGTCTGGACGGGGCAGAGCCGGGCCAGCAGTGGAAGCGGGCGGAAGGCGCTCCAACGCTCTCCAGCGACCAAGCTGCTGTCAGAATCCCGGAATCTCAATTCGAGAAGAGGGAATGAAACGGGTTCGTGGGAAAGACCAAGCGTCCAGACCATCTGAGGCTTTATTGTTTTATCCCAAAGTTCCCGCGGTGCTCACGATAATGCATGCATTACCGGGCAGGCAGAGGTGAACTCCGCTGCAAAGCTGCAACACCATTACAGGGCATTTATAGGTACACAGGCACAGGGCAACTGATGACAGAATGCAGAGATTACAAGAAGATTCTGAGGTCCTCACATACAGAACAGATAAAGGACTGTCAGTCAATCACACAGTAACAATGGGATCACAATATTTCTAATTGCCTGTATTGACACTTTAGTTCAGTAGCTTGAACCCATCTCCAGGTCTGCTCAGACATGCAGATTCAAGCCACTAGAAACTATTCATGATAAGCTCAGACCCCTATCTCAACTCTAAACAGTCTGCATGATCAGGGCACATGAAGCCCTCTGGGCTATCAAAGATTATTGTAAACTGAATTCCAACAATGACTATTCACAATGGATATTTGGGCTAAAATGGCCTGTCTGCTGTAGCGCACAGCTAAAGGTGAGAGAAAGGAGCGGGGGATGAAGGCCATTTTAAACAGAGGCAGCTTGGTTTTGAGAAGGAAGACGGGATTTGGTCCCACAATGCAGAGGCCCACAGGAGTAATGCTTTTCAGGCGGGGTTCACCCAAATTTTCCCAGCACTGCGAGCCTGGACGGCTGGCTCCCCCTCCGTCCCGACGCCCACCCGCAGCCCCTCGGGCCCGGCGCCCCCAGCCCAGGCTGCACCGGTCGCCGGCTCAGCGCAGGCACAGCCACGGGGGCTGCGCGACCCCGGCAGCCGCACACCGGAGGCGGGGCCCGGCAGCACCAGCGGAGACCGGGCCGGATGCCCCCCGCCCCGCCCCGCAGCGGAGGGTGGGGGTTGTTGTGCCTCGACCCGTCCGGAGGCTGCGGCTCCGAGCGCCCCGCCGGATTCCGCGCGGGCCGACGGGGCTCCCGGCGGCGCAGCAGCACCGCCGCCTCTACCCTTTCGCACTTCCTAGCTCTACATCTCGCCCAGGCACGAGGACCGCCTCCGCCGGCGCACTTTGGCGGAAGTGACGCGACGCGCCGAGGGGCGGGGCAGGAGGGAGCGAGGAGCCGACGTCGGGACGGGCAGAAGCGGCTCCTGCGAGGCGGCGCCTGCGGCGGAGGAGGAAGGCGGCGCAGAGGACGAAGCGCGTCGCTCGGGCCGACCTGGGCCGGCCAGGCAGAGACCCGGTGAGGGGGGAGGGCGGGGCCCGGGGGCGGGGCGCGGAGCCCCCACGGCGGAGCGGGAGCCCCTCCCTCTCGCTCTGGCCACGTGACTGGCCACGCTCGAGGGTCCGGCTCGCAAACCGTGGCTTGTTAGGCGGAAGCAGCCCGCCGAGGGTGGCTCTGGGCTGTGCACTGGGGGCCGCCTGTGGTGGGCAAAGCCAGCTTGTTGGTTTGTGTCAGCAGAGCTGGGGTCCGGGCACACGGTAGCGCAGGTTTAAGGGTTGAACCACGGGTTTATTGTGTGGGCTGCACCTAGCTGTATTGGCAAGCTGTGAACCCGTGGCAGTTGTTCGCCATAGTGTGTTGTGCCAGCTGGATTCATGAGAACCCACGCGTGAGGGTTGCATATGTGGCTTATTGTGTTTCTGAACCTTGGTGCTCTAACAAGCCATGTCTTGTTGATCACAAGCAACCCACTCTCGTAGTCCAGCAACACACCGTGGCTTTCTTTCATGACTTTTTCACAGTTAACAAGCCCTGATTTATTAGCATGGCTGGGTTTAGACTACCCAATAACCAAATTTCAACAAGAGCCTGCAGACAACCTACACAACCTATACTTGACCCTTGAGTGTGGTCTGAGCCTGCTCATTAGCATAATTTTGAAGCAGAAGTATTAGATCCCATTTTGATTAGTAAACAAACAAATGCTAAAGCTAAAGTATGCATTGTATTTTTACCCATCCAGCCATCTCCTAGAGGTGAATGAAAAAAAAAAAACTCAAAAGGCATGGAAATAGTGAAACAATACAAAATGGCATACAAATGTTTAAAAGTCATACTGTCTTTCTGTTGAAAGTTGGTCGGCGCAGTCTGTTTTGGCTAAATAGATTGTTGTCTTGAGAGCTCACCATTCTGACAGAAGAAACTCGCCTTTCCTGGGTTTGGGCCTGGACATGCTTCGTGGCCAGTTCACATCTGTCCCATGGGGGGCATGACATGCAGCTGCAGAGGTAAAGCGAGAATGGGGAGCAACACGGAACTGACCGATCCCGAGTCAGGTGTGTGAGCCATGCTGCCCCGTGCTGCCCGACTGGCTCAGAGTCTGATGGGCCTCTCATCCCTGCTGCTGAGAGTGAGGGCTGCAGCTTGCCAGGGGAGCGGTGCAGATGCAGTGTCTGGTATCTCCTGGCAGAGCTGAGCTAGACCCCTTTCGAAACCCGCCAGGTAAACCATTCTTCTCCAATCCTTTGGCGCCTTCTGGATGTACTAGATGAAAAAGTTCATCTGCAGCTGGTTCGGCTTTAGTGAGCTGCTTTCTAACCCACCTGGAGCTTGCTGTATTGGGAAGGACCGATGTGGCCTGTGCTGAGCCACCTAGCAGTGTGACTTGTATCAGGCCAGCTTCCTGGGTCCTTACTGTTTATCTGCAAGTTAAACCAGGGGGCAGAGCCTGGTGCCCTTTGCGTGTGGAGTGCACACAGTTTCAGCAAGTTGTAGCAGTAGCTTTGCCCTCTGGATGAAGAGCTGGGGTCACAGTCCAGTAGTGCATGCACTGCAGGCAGACCTTTGTCTTGGAATAAAAATGGCACAAGTACTTCTAAAGCTCGTGGGGACCGCCAGCAGCATTTCTTTCTCACTCTGTGCTGCTGCTGGGCCTGGACTCCTAGGCTTGCTTAGACCTTCTTCCCCAGCCCAGTGGCCTGTAGAGGCATTTGGACTGCAACTCCCAGAATTCCCATCCAGCAGGGCCATTGACTGGGAATTTGGGGTATTGCAGTCCAAATGTGTCCAGAAGGCACAAGGTTGGGAAAGGCGACTGTAGGCGAACTGACTCAAAGCTTAGTTCAGAGGAGCAAGTTTGGGGACAGAGATGGTCTTGCTCTCGAACCGCTGCCAAAGCCGGTGTGTTCCTGTAATACCAAATGAAAGTGGAACTGTCGGAGGTGGCTTTCTTTTTCATTCTCCTCCCATATCAATGTCTGAACTGTGGTCGGTTTCATTTACGAAAGTGCCCCAGATACTTGATGGTGTATCTTTTCTATCGTCAAGTTTAACTCCCGGGAATTCAGGATGTAGGGACAAGTGGCCGCCCCGTTCTGTCATCACAACCTGCCCTGTGAGGCAGCAGAAGCGGAGGCAGGGATTGAGAGCGCTCTTCAGGGCTGAGCAAGGACTCGCGCTTGGGCCCTCTTCGTCCGGTCCTCTTCAGCTTTGCCACACAGGTTTTCAGGATGATGTTCCCACTGTGATCTGCCCTGAAGGAAACACAAGGCGGGCAGTGCCAGGTGGTTGTTCAGAAAGTCAAGTTTGCCTGGCCGGTGAAGTCGATGCAGCCCCTGGCCCTCTGGGTTCACTTAGATTGGAAGAGTTTTGCACACCGCCGAGTGCCTGCTCCAGTTCTCAGATTTCCTGGTCCATGTTGACCGTCCGCTTTGCTGTGTTTAGGGTGTGACATCCACTCCCTGTTGACTCCTCATTCTCTCTCTGCCCCAGCACTGCCAGTTTCAAAAAAATGAGGAGACGGGATTGGTGGCTGCAGCAATAGGTCTTTCTACAGATCTGCTTTGTGTGTTTGTCCTGGATTCTGTCCTCTACTGAAAGAGCCCTGTGGTAGCAAAAAATCACACCACTCAGGACTGTTCAAAGTGAGTTTCTGGCCTAGTCCTCATTGCCATCTGACGTGCAGCCAGCCCCAAACCTCCCCATGGTTCTTCTGTTCACCAGGCTGTTTGGGGGCAGAAATCGGCCTTTCTGGGAACACCTTTCTGGGTTAAGTTGGTGAAAGGCAAACCATTCGGCTTGGAGCGGAGGCAGCAGACTGGACACTTCCTGGATTTTGTGGCAGACTTGTGGAAAATGCGGGCGATGAAGTCATCCCCGTCTGTTCTGCTTGCTTTTATGGGAGCTGAGAGAGCTTGCATGCCAGAGACATTCCTGAGTGCCTCTGTCGCATGACTCACTGGAAGCAAACACTGACTCTGTCCTGGGAGGCTCCCTTGCGGAACACAGTCATGGAGCATTAGACGGAAGGGCGGCTGGTTTGCTTTCGGTCCTCTCGTTCAGCCTTCTCCAACTCGGTGGCCTTCAGAGGCACTTGGGCCACAGCTCCCAGAATTCCCATCCAGCAGGGCCATTGACTGGGAATTCTGGGTGTTGCGGTCCAAACATGTCCAGAAGGCCCAAGGCTGGGGAAGGCTGCTCCAGTTAGAGAAAGGTGGAGGGTGCTTTTGTTCAACTCTAGTTTTATGGGCTGCATCATGGAGTTTCTCCAGCTTGGCTAACACGCGGGCCAGCATGTCTTTGCTTCTTGCTTGCTTTCTGCTGAATTGTCTCCGGCTTGATATTTGGCAGAGGAAATGTTGATCGCATTGAAGATGCATAGAGGCGCAGCCTAAGAGAGCAAGCTGCTGGATTCCCCAGAGCTCTTCAGGCCAGGGACCTTCTCTTTATGCTGCTGTTAGTTTTTCTTAACTTGAGGAGAGGGGGTGACTAGGGAAAATTCATAACAGGAATGCTCCCAAGCTTGGGGTGGAATGTGGTTCTTTGCATCAGGCATGGCCCATGCACCTAACATCCCCAGCCAACAAGCCTGCTGTGATATTGGCTGGGGATTATGGGAAAGGAAGCCCCACACATCTGGAGGGCAGGAGTTTGGGGAAGGACGCATTAACCGTTTCCTCTTGCAGCAGGCTTTGTGGCTTTTCATAGTGTGCAATGCATTTCCACACACACCCACTGGCCCCCTCTTTTATGTTTGGCAAAAATAGCAACCACAAGAGTAGCCATCTGTCAGTCTGAAGAAGAATTCTGTGGAATCTGAAAGCTTGCTCCTTAAGGTACAAACCTGTGCATGTTTACTCGGCAGGAAAGGCCTAAAGCGTCCAGTATAGTCCAGTATGAAGAACATTCACCCTTAGTGGACCACTTAGTTCAACCCAGTGTTATGCAGAGATTGCTTCTGGGTGGTCCCCCCATCCCCCCCGGGCCTCTTAAAAAATCCCTATATGCATTTGACCTGCCTGCCTTTTTGAACCCTTGTGCAACAGGTGCACCTTCCTTCCTGGCAGAAGTCCCTCAAGCGAGCTCTGTTTTGCCGGGTGAAGGACTCCAGACCCCGCCTAGCCCCTCCTTACAGACCTGTTCATCTGGATTGCTTGAGGAACCTGTTGTGTCCTGCCAGCTCCTGGGTTAGGTGCTGCTTGGCTGTACAGCCCTCGCGTGGATCCCTTCACAGCACTCTCTGAGTCTGTGTCGCCGGTCCTGCTGATTAAGCTAATGGCCACCCTCATGTCTTGCAATGTGTTGTTAATGTGCAGCGAGGCCTTCCGGAGCCTCATTGCTCGAAGGCCCTTCCAGTTCGTTTTGGCTTCACTTCCAAATACTCTGCTGTTGAAGTGGTGTGAGCTTATGTTTTCTTAAGCAGCCCTGATGCGATCTCCCAGAAGGCAGCACGTCCTGTGTCGGTGTGAGTCTGGGAGTGAGTCGTCGTCCTCTTCTCCAGAATGAAAGTGTTCTCTTGCAGCTGGTGTCAGTTTTTCCTGCCTGTGGTCTCATTCTGCAGGCTGGGGATTCTGGGCGTTGTGCTGCAAGACATCTGGCGGTCCCAGGTGGGGGATTGTCCCTCAGCGCAGGCTTTTCTGTACTTCTGGCACTGAGTTGGCAGCTGTCCCCGGGCAGTGATGCTCTGGATGCTCCCAGGGCCAGCGGCTGTGCTGACTGGGGCCTTTCGGGAGCCGCAGGGCTTTTCTCCCTTCAGAGGTGCACGGGAAGCGGCCTGTGGTGGAGAGTCACAGAGCACCTGTTGAGCGGCGTTAGGCGAGGCGCTGTCTGCTAGGCCCGTCTCCCATCTGCAGGCTGGGGATGGTGCAGTCAAAGGCCAGTGCCAAACACTGTGGAACGGAACGTGCCGCTCGGTTTGGTGGCTGGGCAGTGGAGCAGAAAGCCTCATGGCCCTGGGGATCCTGGTCCGATCACATAATGGGGAAGAGAGGTGCTCTCTGGAGGGCCCGCTGGACAAAGAGTGATAGCGGCCTGATGACCGAATCTGGGTGGCCTAGCAGGGCTGCTTGTGAGGACTGCGGCGTGTGTGAGCAGAAAGCTGAAGGCCAGGAAGCACCATGGGTTCTTTTCCCAACACCTTAGTTTCCCCCCGGCCTGTTCTGGGCCTGTGCTGCGCTCTGTGTGAGAAACACTTTGAGCGGTGCTCAGTCACAGTGAGTGCATAGCCCTGCATATAGATCGTGTTACTAGTTTTAGGTACTGCGATGAAGTGTGTGTAAATATGAGCAGGAACTCGCTTTCTTGATTGCTCAGTGTTGTGGAAAGGCCCTCAGCTCTGAATCATTCAACTTTGTGCTTGGGAGGGGGGTCGATAGACCGTTTCCCTCCTGTCCTATCAAGTTTTGGGCAATCAGGTCAGCCAATACAAACCTGGTGCTGACGCTGGTGCCCAAATTGCCGTATCCTGGTGAGCTTCTGAACTGTCATTTAGCTTAGCTTTAACCCTGGTTTTCTGCTGCCTTGCTGGGTTTATAGTTCCAGCACTGAACCCTGTGAGCTTCCCTGAGGGATGTATGCATCTTCTTGCTGTGCAATCTTTTAGAACGTCCCCCTTGGAAGCTGTGGTAAACTGCTTTTCAGCGTGAAATGCAACCCTCCGAGGTTGCATAACAAGCACTTGGCATCTTGGAAATGTTCTTGCCTCAGTAACCTTATCATTCCCTAACTCGAACTTTCAGTAAACAGCGGAGGGTGCCTGGCTGTTTCCCTGGACAAAATGCAAGAGCTGCTTTTTAAAAATTCCCCTTGAATTTTGTTGGGAGTGTCGTCTTGAGTGTCTTTAAATATAAATTGCCCCTTTCCCCTTTGCAGCAGGAGCACAATGAACCTGAAGTCGGAACGCCGAGGTATCCATGTTGATCAGTCAGAGTTGCTCTGCAAGAAAGGATGTGGTTACTATGGCAACCTCGCTTGGCAGGGCTTCTGCTCCAAGTGCTGGAGGGAGGAGTACCAGAAGGCCAGACAGAAGCAAATCCAGGAGGACTGGGAGCTTGCGGAGAGGTAAGGAGTCACTGGGAGCAGCCACCAACTCTGGGCTGCTCTTGGCTCACGCACCAGGCGTTTCACTTGCTCTGTGGCATGAGCTCCTCAGAGCGGGAGAGGGCAAACCTTGGGCCATGGGGGTTGACTGTCTGGCCTGTAGAGGACTGGCAGGTCCCCTTGTCTGCAAGCGCTTGGCTTTGACCACGCTGGCTGGGGAGGACAGGCATTATCCAGCATCTGGAGGGGTCCAGGTTGTGGAAGCACGGCTTGGTCCGGTTTGCGTATTTCTATGCAGCATTGCCATGGTGAACAGTGCACGCAACAGAAGCATCAACAGCACCAAAATATGAGTGCGGAGCTTTTTGTGAGAGAGCATGCCGGCAAATGCAAGCCCAGTGCATCAAAAAGACGGCACTGTAATGGAATAATCTAGTTTTATCACATGACACGGGCAAAACAGAATCAAATGAGCAGGACAAAGCGCAATGCCATCCTAACTCTTCTACTTGGCATTGGCCTTGGTGCCTTCCAAGGCGCTGCAGCCGCCCGGCTGAGCCCTGGTGCAGTTCGGGGATCTTGGGGTGATCCTGCCAAGTGAGGTGGCTTGCTGTGGGATCTGCCCTCCTAGGCACCATTGGCTGCCACAAGAAAGAAATGCTTGGGGTTTGCAGTACTGGCGGGCCCTCTTCCCTGAGCTCTGGGCATTCTGGTTGCGAGTGCTGGCGCCTGAACCTGCAGAGGAGTGGAGGCAGGAAACCCTGCAAGGAGAAACCCAGCTCTGAGAGCACCGCTTAGCTTAAAGCGCTTTGTGCCAGAAACGCCGCTTTAGGAGAAGCTTTTCAGCCTTTTGGAAAGCCGGGAAGCCAGCCAGCAAAAGGGGGTGTGGCCAGTGGGAGGGGCGTGGCCATCCGAGGCGCCCCGGTGGGCCAAACGGGGGCTTCTGGGGTGGGGTGGGGTGGTTGGAGTCCGTGCCTGTTTTACCTGTGTGGGGGCGCCGACCCGACTCTGCTGCTTTGCTCCACTGTGTGAGCTGTAGCAGGTTGTGGTGTCCGGCTGACTTCCACATGGCTGAATGCAGTCAGGATTTAATTCTGGAAGAGGCTGGAAAGAGCTTTGCAGTTCCTTCTGTTGCATCTTGCTGAGCCCCCCTCCCCCCTCATCTGGCCGCTAGGCTCCAGCGTGAGGAAGAGGAGGCTTTCGCCAGCGCGCAGCACCCCCAGGGGGCTCAGTCGCTCGCTTTCACCAAGTTTGAAGAGAAGAAGACGAATGAGAAATCACGGAAGGTGACAACGGTGAAGAAGTTCTTTGGGGCTTCTACTCGGCCCGGAACTAAGAAGGGTAAGATGGAGGGGTGGGCTCGTGAGCAGCTTTTGCTTCTTAAAATCATGGTTGGGCAACAGATTTTTAGAAGGCATTGACCTGTTTTCCTAATTTGCTGGAGAACAGCCGTTGGCCCTTCCAGGAGTTAAATCATCGCCCTCCTTGTTACGAGCCTGCTGCCTTTCCAGAAAGCTGGGCATGCTTTTCCAGCACGCTCTGAGTCTGTTGCATCATGTACAGGAAATCAAGACAGCTGATGAAAGGCTGGCAAGAGCGGGAGTTGTTGCAGTGCTCCGTAAGAGTGGCGAGGACCCTGCCCTTCGTGCTAGAAAACACCTGAAGTGCCCTTCTTGGAAGGCCTTAGCATCTGGGACAGCTGATAGTGGGGATGAAGGAGCAGCTGTGGCTAGTTGCACCTCCTGACTGAGGGGTTGCTGGCGGCTTTTGTGCATAATCAGTTACCAGAGGCTGCTGGGAAGGAGGACGGCACTCTGGGTGGCTGTCCCTTCCTGCAGCAGCTGGAAGGCGTGGGCGCTTTCAGATCCTCACAGATAATCCCACAGCCTGGTTTTGTACAAATATTCCAAAGAATGGCTGTGAGAACATCCAGGCTTGGCCTTCCTGTGGCTAATTTCAGCATGAAACACCATGGTGGCTAAAGGGAGCACAGAAGCACCGCACGGAGCCGGTTGGCACAGATTGGCAGCACCCACTTTCCGAGGTTTCAGGCAACCTGGAGATGCTTCCAGGGATCAAAGCTGGGAGCTTCTGCATCCAGAGCGCTGAGCAGTAGGTCTGCCCACATGTTAAACCGTAACCAAATGCCGTGCTTTTGCCCCGGAGAAGCCAGGTGAAAGGCAGAGAAGCGAGGCCTAGCTGGGAAGAGCTTCTCCTGAACCTCCTAGCGGATCTTCAAGGTCACTCCAGACAAGGGCTCTTATAGGTGGGGAAGGAGTGGACAGAAACTGAAAAAAGTAGAGACCATCTTCATCCTCCTTGTTGCCTGTTGTTTCAAAATTACTTGAGCTTAGGCTGGCATGAAAAACACCCTCAATTAAATGTTTAAGTTTAAAATAACAAAGTAGAAATTAGCATGCACAATGCAACTGGTAATTACAAACTACACTAAAGCACCAGATGTGTGCAAAATTTAAACCGCAAAAGGTTTTTGCCATCTGGTGGAAGTTGCAGAGCTCAGTGTTCACAGTGAGACCCGCTAAACCAGCCTCTTTCTGTGTTTCTCTTGGCATTGCAGGAAAGCTTTTTGCAGTCTTTTTCTTACTAAAATTCATCAGGAATTAGTAGCAGTCCCATCCAGATGTTGCTCCAGTTTTTGAAAGACTAAAGATTTGAGGTTGATCTTAAGCCGTTGGTCAAACTGTTCAGCAGCTCAAAAATGGCAAACGATGGCATTCAGTGTAAAAGTCGCAGCTTTTGGGTCTTGTTCTAGAAACCTCTGTCGGAAGCAAAAGGGAACGAAAGTGGCGGTGCTGCCTTGAGCTGAGCAGGGATGGACCCTGGGAAGCCTTTTCGGGAAGCGGTCCCAGCTCTGGGTGCCGCCGCTGGAGAAAGCCCTGCCCGCCCTGCCGGATGGCCGTGCCTGAAGGACCTGGGAGTCGCGGGCTGGTGGTCCTTGCTCTTGCTGGCCGTGGCTGCAGCCCTTGGATCCCGGGCCCCGGGCGTTGTCCTTGTGCTCATGCCTGTGTGCGGGCTGCCTCTGGCTTCCCTGCGCGCAGGTGCCACTGCTGATGTGCAGCTGGCCGGGGCTGGTGGGGTGTTCTCCCAGGAAGTGCCCTTCGCTGCTCGATGGATTGCGTGCTCCATTTCCGAAAACGAGATCCGACGTGCCCGCTTCCGCGAGGCCTCAGCCGCCCTACCCCAGCCCTGTTCGGCTGCTCGGTGCCTCTCTGCCGAGCCCCGGCCAGAGCGGTAGGACCCGGGCCGTGGCCCACCTCCCTCCCCTGATGGCTTTGCCCTTGGCTGTCGTGCTGTTTTGCGTTTGTTCCAGCCTCACAGGAGTTCAGCGCTCAGCCCAGGCAGCTCGGGAAGGAGCTCAGTGCTGATAACCTTCTCAGGGACTTGAAGGAAATTTTTAGTCCCCACTGGGAGCTCGCTCCCCCTGCCGAAGGTAACGGAGCGCGCCCAGCCCGGCCCCTGCCTGCTTGTTTTAGTGGCTTTGTGCGATCCCAGCTCGGCTGTGCCAGGAGCAGCCCGCCCTGTAACCTGCGCGGTGTGGTCACCTTGTAGGGGCCAGGCCAGGCCGTCGGAATGCTCCGGGAGACGTTGAGGAGCCTGAGGGCTCCCTCCGAGGGGTGCCGAGACCGCTCCCAGCATTCCCAAGCCGGCTCTCTCTACGCGGTGGGTCAGTAGCAGGGAACGCTGCTGCAGTGGTCAAGTTCTGCTGCTCTGCCGTGCCCCCCGCCAAGTGTGGGGTGGGACTGAAGCCCCCGGCGGCTGTGCGGGGGCCTCCAGCTGCACCCCACAGGCTTGCCCCGGGAGCCCCCTGGCTCTGGCGGTGCCCCCACCTCCCGCACGAGGGGCTTTGCGAGCGGCAGGCAGCCCACGATGCGCCGCAGGGTTGTGACGGCGGCCGTCGGTGCCAGCCACGACCTGGCGTGTGAGTTTCCTCGCATGCTCAGAGGCAAGCCGGTTGGGGCTGGCAAAGGTCACGTCACTGCATGTATTTATTTATTATATTTCTTTTCCACCCATTAGCTGAAGCACTCTGGGTGGGCTTCTGAAACAAAACTGTCAAATGTAGTTACTTAGTAAAATACGATATTGGAGGCCAGCATTAGAAGCAGAATGAAACCCCCATCCGAAGCCCTGGAGATGCACAATTGTATTTTTAAATGGGAGGACTGAAGAGGCAGGGAGAATAAAAAGGGCTGCACCTCTTGGCAGCAAGATCACTGTGCAGGTGCCAGGCAGGCCAGGGTGCCACCCCCGAAAAGGCCCTCCCTTTCCTAGCCTCCCGCCTCATCTCATTTGGGGGAGGCACCAGGAGGAGGGCCTCTGAAGAGCCGTCCTTCTGGTAACCCGACCCCACGCGGTTTGCACGTCCATTCTGGCACCGCGACTTGGGCTTGGGAGTGACTGGCAGGCAGCACAGAGCATATGAACGAGCGGCTGCCGTGCGGACGGTCCCTGCCCTGCGCTTGGCCCAGCTGCAGCTTCCTGCCCCCTTCAGAGGCAGCCCTTGTGCCCCCCACAGCTTGCAGCCCAGCAGTAGGGCATGGGCCGCGACAGCGTGGCTGATGAGTCCGGGTTCTGCCACTGGGCGAGCGACCCGAGTCAAGCCCTGGAGGAAGGGGGGGGGAGGGAGGCGGGGACGGGCCAGGCTGGCGAGGGAGGCATTATTTTCTCCGTGCCTGGTCCTCTGCCCAGGTCCAGGCCTGGGCGTTGCTCCAGCAGAGAGCCTCGGCTTGATGGCGCCGCCTCCGCCTGATGTGCCGAGCACTGTATCTGCAGCGGGGCCAACACTCCCTTGGCGGCCGCTCCCCCCCGCCCTGTGCCTGGGAATGGGGGGCAGCCTGTCGCGTGTGCTTTGCACAGAAGGGGGCTGCGCTGGCGAGCGGGGAAGGAGAGCGGCTTGTCTGTAGCAGGCCCAGCGCTCCCCTCGTTCGCCACCTGTCCCTGCAAGAGCCGCTGGCCGCGGCCCCGGGCACTCCGGCACGGCTCGAACCCTGGGGACCCGTCGCTCTGCCCTGCCCTGCCACTGCCCACCGCTTTCAGCGCCCAGGCTCCACGTCTCGTGACCGCGCTCGCCGTGTTGTGCTCCACACAGCTGCGTTTGGGCTGGGCAGGATGCTGCCGTTGTGAGATGCTGACTGAGGCCGTTCTGCCTTGCCTTGCCTTGTCTTGTCTTGTCTTCTCTCTCTCTCTCTCCCCCCCCCGTCCTCCTTAACTCTTCCTCTGGCTCCATTTGCACCTGCTTGTGCTCCATTCTCCTTTCTGAGCAGTGCTGGTTGGCAAGTTGAGAGGTGGGTGATTTGGCGCGGCTGTTTAGTGGGAACAGGCGCTCTCTCCCCCCCCCCCCTCGGGATGGACAACAAGATGCTGTGGACAGAGTCCGGCTAGCCTCTGGGCTGCGCAGACTTCTGGCTGGCCCGCTGGACGTGTGGCCGCTTGCCTGCGATGCCAGCCATGCTGGGGGCGTGGCTTTCCCCGGCCTGGCCGGCTCTGAGCCGTGCAGAGGCGTAGGAAGGAAGGAGCCCCTTGACTTGCAAGCCTCTTTACGGGGGGATCCTGCTTGTTCCTGAGTGCATCTGTGAACTTGTGATGTAACTTGAGGGGGGGGCAGAAGGTGGATCTCCAGAATGTTTCGGATTTCAGCTCCCATTGTTTCTGTCTGCCGGTCATGCCAGCAGCTGCTTCAGTGCGTCAAAATCAGGAACATCTGAAGGTCACCCTTTTTGTCCACCCCAAAGGGGACCGTCGGAAACATCAGGTGCTCCAGCCCCTGCCCTCATGCATGTTAGAGGGTAAGGCACCAGGCCCCCTGGCAAGGCGAGCACAGCAGAGAGGTGCCAGGAGCACGGGGGCAAGGAGCTGTCTGGCCTGCAGAGATGGGAGGGTTTGGGGCAGCCATGGAAGTGGCCGAGCAGCAGCCGCAAGCCCCTCACAGCCCCTGATAGGCCCCCAGAGGCATGTTGTCACTCGGGCCAAACACTGGGAACCAGAGCTTGTGCCCCTTGCGGTGCAATCCTGCGCATGTTTAGGCAGGAAGCCAAGGCCTGCAGCGGCAGTGTGCCCCAGTTTGGGCTGCCGGTGCTCAGCATCCCTGGCCATGCCAGCCGGGGGCTTCCTGCAGCTGAAGGGGGAAACGCCTGGAGACGTCCTCCGACCTGCCTCTGCCACCCACCAGTCACGGGGTGGAGCGGGGAGGCCTTCGGGCAGGCAAGCCCCTTCCTCGGGGGCAGCAGGCGAATGCAGGACGCAGCTGGGCTGCCCGGCAACCCTTTCCTGGCGGGCCGCTGCCAGGGCGCTTTTTTGGATGGGAGTGGGCAGCTTCTGGCCCTCCAGATGCGTCGGTGAAGACCTAGCCTGTGAGGGATTGCGGGGCGGGGGGCTTTGCTGGAACACCGGGAGGGCCCCAGGCCAGGGGTGGCTCCGACCGCCCTTCCCTTTGCCACCTCTCCCGAGTCAGGAGCAGCACTGGACAAGCGCGGCGTGCGGTGGGTGAGCCAGAAGCGCCCCCCTGCCAGGCAGCCCTGGCCTGCAGAAGCACCCGAGCCGGCGGCCTCCCCGGGCCCCCTCCCCAGGCAGGTGTGGTGGGCCTGCCGCTGCTGGGATGCAGCTGCTTGCTTGCTCGCTTGCTCGCTCGCTTGCTTGCTTGCTTGCTTCTCTGGGTGCTCCCAGGAGGGTGGGGAGGAGGGTGGCGCTCCAGCGGCAGTCCGCTGGGGGTGCCTGCAGATCCCTGAGAAGCGGCCTGTGGCCGGGTCCCCGAGGCAGGAATTGTTGCCGGGGCGCCCTGGCTGTTGTGGGAGGTGCTGAGACTCGGTGGTGGATGCAGGGCTTGGGTGGGGGAGGTCTCGGCCTGCCTCTCTCGGCCGAGGCCCCCTTTGCTGTGGGTGCCAGGCACAGGGCTTTGGCCTTCTGGCCCGGAGCACGAGCTCCGCTGTGGAGCTGCAGTCCCCTCCCCGCCGCCTCTTCCTCTTCAGCGTGCAGCTCCCCTGGCCTGGGGTGGCCAGCTTGCCTCCTGATGGCGCCCTTGTCCCTCCCGCAGAGGCTCCAGAGCCCAAGGCCCCCAGCCCTTCCATAAGCCGACAGGTCAGCCTCGAAACCGACCGGGTGTCCAAGGACTTTGTGGAGTTCCTGAAGACTTACCACAAAGCTGGCCAGGAGATCTACAAGCAGTGCAAGCACTTCCTGGAGGCCATGCATCACAAGCGGGTCGGTGCGCGCCGGGCCCCCTCCGTCTCCCCCACGCAGCTGCTCGTGGAAAGCACGCCAGGCCAAAGCACCCGCCCCGGAAGAAACCCCGGGAGGTTGTGCGTGGGCTCTTGCCGCCAAAAGGCTGCTCAGCAAGTGCCGGGCGGGCGGGGGGGGGGCGCTCGCCCTGCAGCTTCCTCCCTTTCTCCTGGCCCTTCACACCCGTTGTCTCCTGTGGTGCCCTGAGGGGGACGGTGTGGCGAGGCCTTGCCCAGGAGAGCCCCGTGGGCGGGTGCGCTGCTGTGGCGCCTGGTCTGGTGGAGAGGTCCGTGGGAGGCCCGCATGCACGTCAGGAGCTGGGGGAGGCAGAACGGAGGCCGCAGCGCAACGGTGCGCCCCCCATCGTTTGTGGGAACACTCCCAGTGGCGGCAGCCGAGTCTTGCGCCAGCTTGGAGGCCGATGCTTCGCCACAGTCGCTCAACCCTCCCTCTGCTGGCAAGCTGCTTGTCTTCTGGGCACGAGGTGCTGGGGACTCCGAGTCATGGAGCAGTAGAGCTGGAAGGGGCCGGAGGGCGCTCCGGTGTGACCCCTGCTCGGTGCGGGACCCCCGTTCACCCATCCCTCTCACGGGGCTGTCCAGCAGCACCTCGCGTGCCCCCACCTCCCGGGGCCATGGGTCCCCTGGCCGTACTGCTCCAGTGGTCAGGGAAACTTTCCTGCTCTCTGGCCCGACCCCGGCTTCCCCTAATGTGAGCCTGTTCCTCTGTGCCCTGCCCTCTGCAGGGATGGAGATGCGGCTGTGGCCCTCCTCTGGGTGGCCGCCCGCCGAGCACTCGCGCTCGCCTGTCTCCCCTCAGCCTTTTCGGGTGCAGGCTGGAGGTGCCCAGTCTCCGTCTCTGTGTAGGAGGGACCCAGCGGGCCGAGCCCGCCGCCCAGGGGCTCCCACTCCCCCGTCTGCTCAGGCTCTGCCGGGTGCAGCTGCCAGGGGAGGTCGGGGCCCTGCTGGTCCTCATCCGCGGGGTGGATCTCCCCCTACAGGATCTCAGCATCGAGGAGCAATCCGAATATACCCAGGACTTCTACCAAAACGTGGCGGACAAGCTGCAGCTTCGCTGGAAAGGTAGCTCGTCTCCTCGGGCCTTGCCGCTCTCACGCTGGGGCCCCCTGGAGGCAGGCGTGCCTTTCCATCTCTCGGTGGAACCGTGGATCGAAGGGGGGCACCAGACTGAGACCCACGGTGGAGGTGCTGTTGGGGGTGCCTCGTCGGGTGATCTTCAGCCTGTCCTGGATGGGGTGCACCCCCCTCGGGGACACCTTTTGTGTGTTCGGATGCTTCCGGACACAGAACTGCCCTTGGGGCACACGTGGGCTCCGTGACCCGGAGCAGCTTTTATCAGCTTGTGCTGGCATGCCAACGACAGCCCTGTTTGGGCAGCGGGCAGCGGGAGCCCGGCCATAGCGATCCATGCCCTGGGAACCCCTCTGGGATCCCTGCAGTGCGCCGGACATGGCGCTGCCTTGGAAGATGGTAAATGCAGGCTGGCTCATGGGACTGTGTTACCCCGTCCTCCTCCGGCTGCCGGCGGAGGTCCGGGCCTGAGTCAAACGGCAGGTGCTAGCATACAGAGCCAGAAATGGCTTGGAGCCAGGTCACCTGAGGGCCCACCTCCTCCCGTATGTCCCTCCCTGGACCCTGGGGGCATTTCTGGGGTCCTTCTCTGGGGACCCCTTCCAACGGGAGGGAGGCAGGTAGCGCAGGAGAGGGGGGAAGTGGGGCAGGTAGTGGGGCAGGAGAGGGGCCTTCCGGTCATAGCACCCCAGCTCTGGAGTGAGCTTCCCACAGAGGTGTGCCCAGCGCCGCCTCGGTATACTTTTCAGTGCCAGGTGAGGCTCTTGTATTTTTCCAATATTTTAACAGTTTAACTTTTCAATTTTATTTCTAACGCTGCATTTCATCCTGCACCGCTGTTGCGCACTAGCGCTGATTCAGTTGCCGTTGCTGCGGTTTGGTGGTTTTATGTTAATTTTTTTGTTTGTGTATTTTTTTAAACTTCTGTTAGCTGCTCAGAGAGCTTTGGCTATTGGGTGGTATAATGAATGAAGGAAGGAAGGAAGGAAGGAATCAACACTTTTAGACAAGAGAAGGTCGAACAATTGGCAGTGTTTCCCAGTCAGTAAAGCTGGGATTTGGCAGGCCCTTTCATGTCTAAACATGCCCAGGGGCAGGCCTGAAAAACCTCAAGGTTAGGGTGGTGCTTCGAATGTTGGATGGAGGGCCTGGGAAATGCGGGTTCTAGTCCCCGGCTCAGCCATGAAGCTGGCTGGGTGAATTTGGGTCCTCCATGGACTTTGAGGCTCACCTACTTGGCAGGGCCGCTGCTGTGCGAACGAAATGGGATGGGTCCCTTGCAAGAGGGGGAGAAGGTGGGCCGCAGAGGTAGCGTAACAGTAGCACGAGCTGTGCTTAGAGAAGGCAGAGCCGGGAGGGAAGGATCGGGAAAATCCCAGGATTGACGCGTGAGTGCGAGGCAGCGAGCTGGCTTCACGCAGGCCAGAGCCGCAGGTGGCACGGTTCCCAGGCGGCAGGTGCGGGTCCACATCCGTGTCATGCTTGGAACGCGGCAGAGCATCGCTCACATTCTCGACCCTGGGGTCAAACCCTGGGGGTGGCGGTGCTGCTACTTCCTGGCCCTTCCCAGAAGCCTCTCTGGTAGACATGCTTCTGGACTTCTCAGCGCTCCCTCAGTCCAGGGGGAAGCCGGACGTGCCCCAGCTCTGTTTGTCTGGTTTCTCTTCAGTGGCTCCAGAGAAAGCGGAGAAGGCCATGGACCAGATTGAAAAGTACCTCATGACACGGCTCTACAAGTATGTTTTCTGCCCAGAGACCACTGAGGACGAGAAGAAGGATCTGGCTGTCCAGAGAAGGATCAGGTGGGGCTTCAGGAATGGGGGAGTCTTTCGGGGGTGCCGAGGAGGATGGGAGGAGTCCAACACCTGCGAAGGGCTCCTGGCTGGGGAGGGCTGACCTCGCCATCTGCCCCACCCGCTTGGCTGGGAGGAGCCCTGCCCCGGCCCCGCAGAGCCACCAGCTCTCGCTCCCCTCATCCAAGGGGCGCCTTGTCTCTGCCCGTCGAGCTGCTGCTCACGCTGGACCGACATCCCTGACGAGGGAGCTGCTGTCGTCCCGTGGGGTTGGCCGGGGTAGGTTTCCGTGGTGCGTTTTGTTGTCGCTTCCTCTCTGCTTCTGATACTCATCGATGAGGAAATAGGCGTCACTGCCCTACCGGTAAAGCGGTTACTCATGGGAGGACGTGCAGATTTGCATGGGTTACTCTCCTCTCGGTGCAGAGGTTGTGCTCTTCTAGGCACGGGCAGGCTCTGCGGTCTCTCACGGAGTTAACGGTGGCTTTCCCCCCGCCTGCCTGCAGGGCTTTGCACTGGGTCACTCCGCAGATGCTTTGTGTGCCAGTCAATGAAGAAATCCCCGAAGTCTCCGATGTGGTTGTCAAAGCCATCACGGGTACGCACGGGCCGGCTCTCTTGCAGGTGGGGGGGGGGGAGCGGCTGACGGATTGGGACACTGGCCAGCTGGCGCAGGCGGCTCGCGCAGCCGAGGAAGCAGGTCTGTGGTGTGGCAGCAGAGCCCCGTGAGGTGGTCCGAGAGACAAGGCGCCTTCCCCGGCCCGGTGCCCGGCCAAGTGTGTTGGCCTGGGGATGCCAGGCTGCGGGTGGCAGGGGCCATAGTCCGACCCGCCTGCGGGGCACCAGGCTGGGGATGCCTGATGGAGAATGGGGCCCCAGCCCGGGCATGTGGCTGGCACACAGCTGGGCCTGGCACGCTGGCCATGGGCCAGTGTGGGGGCAGAGCAGCAGGGGGTCCTTGCTGGGCTTGGGGGCCGTGGGCCTCGTGCCACAGCCTCTTGATCTCACGCCTGTACCGCCCAGTCGCTGCAACAGTCTGGGCAGCCCCCAGGAATTCACCGAAACAGACGCAGTAGTAATACGAACAAAGCATAGCATCTAATACGCAAGATCTAAAGCAAATTACATCATAACTATTTATGCAAAATTTAAAGTAATTTCAATTAAAAACAGTAGACACGTTAAAAGGCAGCGGATACAAATGTCCTGTCATACGTGATTAACATTATTATTATTAACACTATTATTATCATTCACAACTAATAACACTATATTCCTATACTGCCCAGTTGAATAAAAAATACAGTACACCAATAAAATAGCGATAAAAGTCATTAAAACAGAATGCAGAGTTTAAAAGCCAAATTTAAAGCCACACTTAGAAAAGCTGCAGTAGCTGACATGGGCAGCTCACAAGGCCCTGCGGTGCAGTTGCCCTGATGCCGCAAGGTAAGACCCACCCTCTTGTAGGGGACAGTCCTGACCTGGCCCTGGAAAGATGTTCCTGTTGGCGCCAGGAGGGCACCTGTCCCATGGCTGGGGTGGGCAGCGAGAGGCCCTTCTCCTGGTTGCCCCCAGCCGAGCCGCTCCTGGGGGGGCCTCGGGTGCTACTTGCAGTGTCCCGGGCAGATCCGGGAGGCGGGGGGAGGCGCGCTCTCCGGCACTGCGGTTCCGAGTCGTGCCAGGCTTTCTTGCGTTTTCTAGAAACCTAGAAAACTTTCTAGGTCCAAGCCAGTGCCTTGGATCAGGCTCAAGAGCACGCAGGCAGCCTGTGGGAGGAGGCCAGAATTTGGCCCTTACAGCTAAAAAACGGTGGGCAAGGCCCAGCAGACGTGCTGAAGGCTGGAGCGTGCCGGCGGGAGGCCCCGCCGGCCTTGCCTCGGCTGCGGACGTGCAGGGCGGTGCAGCTCCGGAGTTCTTCTCGCCCTGCAGACATCATCGAGATGGACTCGAAGCGTGTCCCGCGGGACAAGCTGGCCTGCATCACCAGCTGCAGCAAGCACATCTTCACCGCCATCAGGACCACCAAGGACGAGCCGGCCTCCGCCGACGACTTCCTGCCCACCCTCATCTACATCGTGCTGAAGGGCAACCCGCCCCGCCTGCAGTCCAACATCCAGTACATCACTCGCTTCTGCAACCCCAGCAGGCTGATGACCGGCGAGGACGGATACTACTTCACAAACCTGGTGAGTGCAGCCCCGTGCCGCGCATGGCCTTCCCGGCTGCCATCTCCCCCAGGCGCTGCTCCTCCATTTTCTGCTCTCGGTGGGAAGCGGATGCTGTGAGACCTGTTGCGTGACTGAAGCTGCTTGGGACCCCCGGCTCGTGACCGCAGTGGAGTGGCTGCCACCTGCCTGATCACGTGTGTCCACAAGCCAGTCAGAAATAGTCCAGCTCCCCTGTGTGGGGCCAAATAGCACGGAGCGCTGGTCCACTTTCATACCCTGCCGCACGGCAGAGCCTTCTCGAGTCATTTGCTGGCCACGTGGGTCGCTGTCGTCACTTAACCCAAAGACGGAAGGATCTGGAAGGGAGGAGTGTTTGATTCCAGCAGGGAGGTGGATGCAGGCGTGTGGCACAGCTTCCACTGACTGAGCTGGCCTGGGGGCTTGGGGTTCGGTGCTGGTCGTGTTGAACAAACTTCAGAAGGCATGCCAGCTTCCGCCTCAATTTTCCATTCCCCAGCGGGATGATTTCTGGCCTCTCCTGCGTCAGGAGGAGCTTCCATTAGGGATGACTAGCGTAACCCTAGAGGGGGCCTGTCGCTGGTAGGTTTTGTGCGTGTGCCGGGAAGGGGTCTTTGACTGCGTGTCACATGGTGCCTGTTGCAGTGCTGTGCGGTCGCCTTCATTGAGAAGCTGGACGCCCAGTCCCTCAACCTGAGCCAGGAGGACTTTGACCGCCACATGTCTGGCCAGACCTCCCCGAAGAAGCAGGACCCCGAGCGCTGGCCGGCCAGCATGTGCGCAGGAGTCCGGCAGATGTACCAGAACCTCGACCTGCTCTCTCAGCTCAGCCAGCGGCAGGAAAGGATTGCGAGCGAGGCCAAGAAGCTGGAGCAGGACCTCATTGACTGGACCGATGGGGTTGCCAAGGAGGTCCAGGGTATCGTTGAGAAGTTCCCCCTGGAGATAAGCCCGCCGAGCCCCGCGGTGGCAGCCATTGACTCGGAGAACGTCGAGAACGACAGGCTGCCTCCCCCGCTGCAGCCGCAGGTGTACGCTGGGTGATCTGGCTCTGGGCTCGTGGACGTCGGCTTCCCGGCTCTCACCTGCCAGGAAGGTGGGCTGAGGGGAAAGTCGCACGAGTGGAAAGCTGGCACACACGGAAGGTGCTGTTTGCTGGCAGGCACGTTCCCTGGTATTTATTTTCGCCACAGTTGCTTACCGTGAGGGCTGTCTCTGCTCGTTTCAACCAAATTAACTACACGAATCCAATATAATTTTAGGAAACATTGGCGTTACTTTTCTTCAGGCTTGCACACACGCGCACGTGTGTGTGTTTAAATAATCAGTTCAAGCTTTTTGGTAGCTTTTCTACCGTTGGTCAGCACTTTGCAATGAATGCCAAGTCAGAGGTAGATACACGAAAGGTACTTAACCTCTGGTTTTCAAGAAGGATTTTTATGGTGAAGTTCATATTTAAAATTGTAAATAGGTTTGCAACATGGTTTGCATGTCACCTTTTAATTTCTTCCCCAGCTGCAGGGCAAATTCACTGCTTGATAGTTTTGTTACCGGAGTTGGCACTGTAGGAAACAACTGGCGTTATCTCAAATATAATTCAACAAAGAACTCCTAGCACAATTTCTTGTTTGAATATGCAAGAGGTGCAGAAACCGCCCCCCTCCCCCTGCAGGCACTGCCCAACTGGAACCGTTCAGAGAAGAGGGGAAGCAGGGGTGGAGCTCCTCACATGTATTGTCGGCCCCACTTTGCGCTTTTCTGGAAAAGAGAGGGGTTGGCCCGCAGGAGCACGATGCCCAAGAACGGATCGTTTAAGGACCTTTGAATGCTTTGCTGCACTCACAGCAAAGGCATCCTGGGAGTCAGGACACTGTGGCACAGTGTGCGGGAAATCAGAACCAAGGATGTGGAGAACACCCCCCTTTCCTGGGCCGGATTCCTCTCTGTCCTTTGCCTGAGGTGCGGGTTCTCCCACTACCTGCCAGGCTGATGAAGTAGATGTGTACATTCCTATTGCCCAGGTGAGCTTGGTGGGCCGGCGTCATGTGCAGCTCACTGTGTCTGGCACATAAGTGATAGTAGAAGGCTTTCCTGCAGGATGGAGTTCATTGTGTGTTCGTCCTCTCCCCTGCGAAATGTGTCTGTCACTCTTTCTTTCTTTTGGATCCCAAGTTAGCAAGAAAAAGTTTGTTCATCCAGATGAACATTAAATCTCTTGCACACTTTGCAGTTCAGGTCAAAGGCTCTGCAGTAGCTTTGCAATTTTAATTCTTCTTATGGTGCATCACCGCACTTTAAAAATGCCACTTCAACCATTTCCCCCCCAAGCTCCTCTCACCCAGATGTCTCCTATTTGTCCACCTGGTGATTTTGCAGTGAAATTGCTAACTTGTTTTGGCGTAGATTTCCAAGCATCCTGAGTTGGGCTGCACAGGAGTTCCTTTATTTTTGCAATAAGGTCGGGCCAAGACTTGTGGGTTCTGCGTGCACTTGCAAAAGTACCGTTGTTCTCAGCCTCGTGAACTGCCACGATGCATTTCTTAAAAGGTAAGTGTTGTGGCGTTCCCTCCGGTGAAATTGCGCAGCTGAAAGAAGCAGCCCATGACGCCAGCGAGCCCACATTCAGTGGCATCTGCGCTTCGGTCGGGGCTTCCTTCCCGGCTTCTTTCCTCTCTGCGTGACACACTAGGTGCTACTTCTGGTTTCCAGGTACACATTTTCACTCCTGAAAGATGTATGATAACTGCTGTTACTAAAGTGCTGTCAGATGAAATAAAACCTGTACAACACGAGTCCTTTGTCAGGCAGCCGAACTCTTGGTTTCAACTGAGGTGTTGTCTCCTACATTGGCACTGTCTTCAGCTGTGGCTGTGTGTTTCATCAGTCACGCAGCTAAATTTTGGAGCTTTGTATAAAACTAGAGCGGGGAACATCTGGCCCAAGCCAGCTTCCAGGCTTCCCCGCTGGTTCAGGCCCCTTTCCCCACGACGTGTGCAAGGGTGGGTGTTTCCTGGCTTTTGTGCTGTTTCCCCTGTTCTGAAAAATGGAAATGCGTCTTCTAAAGCCTAACCCTAAGTCTTTTCAGAGGAAGTGAAGCCATTTTTGGAGGGCAGGGCAGTATTTTTAGTCCCACCCCGTTGCCTTCTGTCCTAAGGAGCTTCCCTGTGTCTGGAAGAGGCGCACTACGTCTGGGGGCCGAAAGTAGGAGGGGCCGCTCAAGCCTGGTCCCTTGTATCTTCAGCAATAAAGCTCTTCCACACAGGGTGCTGCGTGTGGTCCTGGGCCTGCAGTTTAGCAGCCAGTAGACCTGCCCCCCCTTTCCCATTTCCCCCCTCATGTTGGGCTGGGGCAGCTGTCTGAATAGATCCAATCCTTTTGCCGTGACCTGGAGGTTGGCCAGGTTTGAGACTCGAAGGCTGCGAGCAGTCCTTGCTTGAATGGGCCATGGAGTTTCCTGGGGGGCAGCCTCTTTAACTGCGGGTTTTGCCAGAGCCTGGCTCTGCATCCTGAATCAACCTGAATCCTTCAGCCACAGCACGGGGAGGTGGAAATGAAGCTCTTATCCCAGATCAGCAATGCAAAGTGCGTATGATAAAAGGACACCCAGCTTGAGCCTGTCATGTGGTCCAAGAATGATCTAATTAAGCAGATTGATTAATGAGTGAATGAGGGGAACACCCTCGTATGTGGGCCAGTGTGTGATCTCCCATCTTCTCTGGGAAGTACCTTTGCACTGAGCAACCTCCCCGCAGAGGCCACTTTTGGGGGCGCCAAAGCCGATGCTCCGTTTCCATTCTCGGCATCTCTGCTGCAGAAGGGAGGTGGGCCCGGGCAGGTGTTTGGCCTTCGTGAAAGACGTACCGATAACGAGGTGAAGTGGGGAAAACGCCCAGAAAACCAGCGCTGTGGCAATGCCCTGCCGCATTCGTATGAAGGCAATCGCCAGCCTTTGGGTTAGACATTTTCTCAGAACTCCTAGGACTGATACTGGGAGCAGGGTTGTGGCTAGGACATAGTTAAAGGAGAAGCCTGCGAGGCTAAATTTTCATACGTGGCTTAACTTTGATCCCAGGGCTTTAAAATAGCTGGAAAAGATCGACTCGGAGTTGGTGGCAGGAGTGCTCATCAAGTCCACCCCTGCTGGCGATGCAGAAATTGCTGCCGCAGCACCCCCAGCAGGGGGCAGTCCGAAATGTGCGGGAATCGTTTGTGGGCACAGCACGGACAAGATGTGGGATTGCATGTGCGCCATGTGCGAGGAGCTGATGGCTTTTCCGATGTTGCTTTTGGGAGAAGGAGAGCTCCTAGACCTCGGAGACTCGGTCTTTCAATTATATACCAAAATTTTCTTCATTTGGCCTGCTAATGGGAACGATGCAACTATCGGACCATGAACAATCGGGTTATAATGTCCTCTCTTTGAAAGCCCCACTTCAGCTCTTGTTCTGCCTCCACTTTCTCTGCCATTTATCTTCTCCAGGGATTTTGCCTTCTCATGATGTGCCCAGAGAATGACAGCTCCAGTTTCATCATTTTGCTTCCCCGGCAAGTTGGGCTTGCTTTGATCTAGGACCACTTCATGGGGGAGCCATAATGTTTTCCACATTTGACAGCATTAAACATTCGAGTGCACACACCTATTGAAAATGACACTGGCAAGCCTAAGACAGACTATTGGGAAAGCGTGATCCCAGCAACTTGTATCTCTTTCCTTTTTGCATTTATTCTAAGAACTCTCTTCTGCAAGAAAAGCTTTCCATTTTTCAGTGGCAAGAATTACAGCATCTTGCTCAAACTTGCTCATCTTTGATTACAGTTGCAGAATTGAACCGCCCCCCCGCCACAGTATATGGCCAAGGGAAGGATGGATCGGCTCAAAAGGTTGCATGCTGCTCTAGATGGACAGATGGGGATGTAGGAAGAAAAGGACAGAAGTGGAAATAGGGTACCATCCCACACGTTCCAGCAACTGCCAGCACGCCGCAGGCAGGGCTTGCTTGTTCCTGAACATGCATGGTGTTGCCCCTCCCTCGGGCTCCAAAACTCAAGACAGTCCTTTGCCATGTGAGTCCTCCATGGAGACTCCGTAGGAGAGAGCTGTTTACCTCTGAGGAGCCTTCTGGCGAAGCTGGAAGGAGAGGCTCAGGCAACTACCTGGAGCAGGGCCTTCTCTGCGGTGGCACCCAGGTTATGGAATGTGCTCCCTGGAGAGGTGTGCCTGGCACCGAGTCTATATTCTTTTCGGTGCCAGGTTAAAACCTTTTTATTTAATGGCTATTTTAAAAATTAATTTTATCGTTAACAGTCACTTTTTGTTTTTTGTTTTATATAATTTTACTGTACTTGTGGCTGTTTTATTATTTTAATTCTACGTTGTGAGCTGTCCCGAGATGCCAAGGCATGGGGTGACGGCATATAAAAGCTTTAAATGAATAAATAATAAAAATAAATAAAAGGTGCCTGGGCAATTTCCTGGAGGAGAAAGTGGCCAAGGATCGCCCTGAGGGCCCTGTGCTGCCTTCCGCTCAGGGCAGGATGGCAGGGGCTGCGTGTGGGAGGGGGCTGCTCCGCGCCTGCCCGGCCGGGGTTTCTCGTGGAGGCAGCCGCTTGTCCGCTGTGTGACCAGAGCACAGTGTGAAACAGGCTCGCTCGGCTCGCTCCTGCCCTCCTCGCAGGGTGGCTACTGTGGACATACAAGTTCCGGAAGTAGCCCATGCAAGCTGCCCTGGGTTCCTTGTAAGAGCAGCAAAAGCAGGATATAAATGTAAAATGCTACTGCTAATAAGATGGGACAGTGCTGGGCATCAGTGATATTTAGTGTCCAAGTCTAGCCCAATAGATGAAATAAACTATGTCAATGCACAAGATCAGCACTTTTTTTGTAAAAAAAAAAAAAAAGGTGCCGGAACTCACCTCTTGGGGTCACACTTTTACACTAAAAAAGATTTTCAATTCACCAACTTTTTTTGAAATGAAGAACTTATTTACCTTTTGCACGTAGCCAGTCACTCTACACACACCAACACTTCGTAATGAAACAGAATGGTCGCCGCCGGCAGTAAGCACTCAGCGCGCAACCACACAACCGATCCCAAGCCGAGCAGCGTCCCAAGCCGAGCAGCACCCTCACAATCAGCGCCGACACACAAGCAGCCCACATGCACTATTGTAATGATTTTTGCCACGGACCTGCTACGCCCAACAGGGCAATTCACAATCACTTGGAAAAATCCGTCAAAAAAGGGTGCCGGAACGCCATTCTGGTGCATTCTATGACAAAAAAAGCCCTGCACAAGATAGTTTGATTCTTTTTGATTCTTTGCCGGCCTCTGGAAAAACCCTTTTCAGACGCAATAGCAAATCCCACGCCCCTTTCCTTCCTCTGCGGTGGAGAACTGGAAGGGAACGCGGACTTGTGTCGTGCTTCCATCTTTCCCCACGGCGTTGCGGGCTGGGCCAACGGGGCGGCTGCCCTGCAGCACCTGGCCAGCTGCCGCTGCCGTGGGCAGTGTGGGGCCCAGCGAGGAGGGCACCGCCCGGAGCCAAGCAACCACCCGGCATCGCTTTTTCCCGGGGAGCCTGCTTTTTTCACCGCCTTCCCAAAGTTCATTTTTTAAACAGATTGTCCAGTTTGGGGAAGACAGCTGTAAGCGTACACACAGAAACCAATCTGTGAGAAACTCCAAATGGCTATGTTTGTATTCTGTTGCCAATTTCACTACATGGAATAAAATGGCATTTGCAAGCTCAACAATATGTTGGAAGAGCAGCGCTTTTTGGGTGACAGCTCTTCTGCCTTCTGTCATAGTCTATTGCATCGTTTTCTGGAACTTGGTCGATGGCTGTTGACCAGGCCAAGATCTGTGGATTGGTTGTTGATCTTCCTTTGCCAAAGGCCAAAAATGGATATGAAACTGTTCCCAAAGAGAGTAACAGTTCCTTTCTCACAGGCCTGTCCCCCTTTTCAGGTTCTCGGCGACAGGGACACCTCGTTTCTACACCCATGAGATAACGTTGTCAAGAGCAAGGCTGACCTTGTGGAGTTGTAGCAAAGCAGGAATTAGTGTGATAAGACAAGCATTCCCATGACGGAGAACTGAGCTCTCTTCCCCACAAGGCTGTCAATTGCTCTACCTATTTTTGACTTTGTTACCAAACTGAGATTGGACTTTTAGGCAAAGGTTTCCTTCTACCTTTCCCCTATATAACCTCTAGCAGGTGCTCTGCTCTAGCAGAGTAACTGTGCCATTTCCACAGTTCTAAAATAATACCTCATTTTCCCTATTCTAATAGCAAACCCACAAACCAGGAAAGTGCTCTGAAAAACAGAAGGAAAACAGGACATTTATCACATCATTAAAGAGCGTGTAAACAACCACAGGTGCACAATACGCATTTCATATAGAAAAGCCCTCTGTTGCTGAGTTAGAGAGAGCCAGGAGGCTGCAGAATTTGGACCCGTCAGTAGCATTCTTTTAGAGAGACGCCGATTCTGTCCGGGAAACGGTCAAACAGGCAAATGTAGGAAGGTACTCATGGAACCATGGAAAAGGGTCCTCACGGCATCGAAGGATGTTCTAGCCATCTCCGTCTCCTCCTTACCCACCAGCGATTTTAGCAAGCTCTGCTGGAGAGACGGGAAGGGGAATCAGTGCGAGTCCACTAGATCTGTTGAAATATTTGCTCCCCGCCCCTTCCTTCTGCACCCCCTTTCCTTGGGCATCATTTCTTCTGTAGTGTAAATCTATGGGCAGGGGATGATCTTCTCCTTTTCTTTTTTCTGCTGATGACT